GTTGTGTGCAATTGAGAAAAACTCGAGCAAGGTAAACCTTTGGACCTTGGGGTTGATCCCATTGAGTGTTCCACCATACTCCGTTGAGGAGAAATGGTTTATGAGATGTGATATGTAATTATGATAGTAATTGTATGCTCATGCATTGATTCATGCATTGATACATGTTATGATTGATTAATGATTATTGGTTGATGTTTGATTGTTTAAGAGTAATTGAGGAATTGTTATAGAAGTAGCAATAATGAATGAGGTAATGGTTGAGGATTGTGATTGAGGTCATGAGTGATAGTATTATGATGAGGATAATTGGTAGGAACTTCCCTTGGAAACAGCCCTATGTGGATCTCCATGTGGTTAGAGCCTAAGAGGAACAGCCCTATGTGGATCCCTCTTGGAGGTTCCTAGATTGAGGAAAGGACTTCCCTTGGAAACAGCCCTAGGTGAATCTCCATGTGGTAAGAGCCTAAGAGAAACAGCCCTTTGATGATCTCTCTTGGAATAGATTGAGGAAAGGACTTCCCTTGGAAACAGCCCTATGTGGATCTCCATGTGGTAAGAGCCTAAGAGAAACAACCCTTAGTGGATCTCTCTTGGAAGTCCATGTGATGCTTGTGGATAAGAATGTGTTAAGCTATTATGATTATGTGTACATCGAAAGTGAACCTTAGGGTGGAGTGATCTCCAAGGACCTCTGGTTTACTGTGATATATTCGTATATCTCACCCCGTGTTATGGGACCCCCTTTCAGGTAAGGAAGCTGCAGGAGCTTCTGATGGCAAGTGGCCTTATTTGCAGTAGATCAGGCATGAAGAAAATGATGTTTTGAGATCATATATGTTATTTTGTAGATTTACATGTATAGGATTGATCATTGATAGCATTGATGTATGTATACCTCGTTATATTCGATGGACTTAGCCTATGATCATGCCATTGGATATCTCTTTTGTTGATGAGAGCCAAGGGATGATCATAGCCTTTTGTAGCTAAGTTCCCCGTTATGTAATTAAACTTGTATTAATGCTATTTACTTCAAGGTTATGAATGCATGATGAATATTGGAAATGTTGAGCTGAATTGTCTATTAGGAGCTAAGCTGCTAGATTGGGAAACGTTGAGAAAACAAAGGTTATGCTGCCCAAATTTTAGTACAAGCCATTAGGAGAGGTTGGGAAAGGTTCTAGGGTTAAGTTAGATGGTTGAACAAGTGTGGCTTGTTAATGGAAATGCAACCTCCCTCGAATTAGACTTGAAAAATGAGGGTATTGGAATTCCCTGGCAGCGCGCTTCAGCCCCCAGGAGCGCGCTCAAGCGCCCTGCTGCCCCTGTGAGAGCCAATGCTCTCTGTCTCCTCGCGCCGGAGCGCCCAAAGTGGGGGCTTAAGCGCCCAGGATTGCGCGCTTGAGCGCCCTAGTTTGCGCTTAAGCGCCCTTCACTGCAGAAAGATGGGAGGCTTACTGTCTCCGCGGGTTTTAGCGCCCAGAGTGGGCCTTAAGCGCCCAGGGTTGCGCGCTTGAGCACCATGTTTCACGCTTGAGCGCCCTTAGCCACTGAAGGAGGAGATGCTTCTGTCTCTGCGCGCTAAAACGTCCCAATGGGAGCTGAAGCGCCCAGGATATAGCGCTTGAGCGTCCTGGTGCGCGCTAAAGCGCCCATTTACACAGAAAGACCTGATGCTCTCTGCCTCCGTGCGCTTAAGCGCCCGGAGGCTTTAGCGCTCGATAACGCGCGCTTGGGGGCCCTGTAGCGCGCTGAAGCGCGCGGGGCCTGTGTCCAACATACACTTATGTTGCTCTAAGTTGTCATAACGCGAGCTACAGTGCTCCAAATGAGAAGCGGTTCGAAGCCACGCGTAGCTAATGATTAGAAGAAGACAATTAATAACCTTGGTCTAAGGATATAAGAGTATGATGTTAAGCTTAATTCGTTTTATTCCGCAATGTAATATGGTTATGATCACGCAATTGGGCATTATAAATTCGGCATGTTTTAAAATGAAAAATTTATCCGGATTTTAATTGAACCCATGTGGTTGTGACTGCGCTTAATATCATAATACGATGTTAACAAACTGGTTCTAGAACGGAGTGTTACAAACATACTCACATAAAAGTAAATGGATATCTCTTTTCTCCATTTTCACAATAAAACTCATCCATTTTTATATAAATGTAGAACATAAAAAATTTTCTATAACAAAAATAAAAATATTTTTTCCTAATTTTATATGCAGAATCCATTCCTCCAGGTTGACAACATAAAGGCTATGGTTCGGGGATCCATATGCAATTTTAAATGGGCCCACCAACTATCGATTTTGATAAAAATATCTTTGAAGGGAGCCAGGAACCACCAAAATTCAGTAGTACCTTTTTGAAAGGTGTGAGACATAAATGAAAGAAAAAAAATTCACATTTTTTTGAAGGAAACCACTGAATTTTGGTGATATTGAACCACTGAAATTTCTTTCCAAAACGACGCATGCCAAACTAAATATTGCGGTCCGTATTTTTTCTTTTTCTTTTTCATTCTCCATTTTTATTTTTTTGGGAATATGAAAAGAGGCACGGACGAGGACAGAGTGACAACGGGACAATGATCATATTGTTACTTTTTTGGCAAAAATTTATCTGATTGTTACGTCAGAATTTTTTTTTGTCAAAATGCCACATCACAATCTCGCTGGTCTGACAAGCGAAAATTGACTAGACACGTGTCAGCATCTGAATGGTCAACTATTCTCACTGAGCTGTCCAACTAGAATGACAGAATGCTGACACGTGGCAAAAGTACAAGCATTCTATGGATGTCTATACTTTTGCCACGTGTCAACATTCTGTCATTCTAACTAGGTAGTCCAACGAGAATGGTTGACCATTCAGACACTGACACGTGTCCAGTCCATTTCCGCTTGTCAGACCAACTTGTGACGTGTTATTTTTACAAAAAAATTTTAGATATGACAATTAAGTAAATTTTTATTAAAGGAATGACACAATCGTCAATGTCCCATTGACAACTAATCTCGCACGTAAACATAAATCAATTATGATACCAAGAGATTCCAGTGGTATTGGATGGCCGTAGAAATGATTGTCAATCAGTCCAGAGAAATATCAGACCTTCAGTTTCCATGAAGTAAATAGTCTATTAAAAAGAATATCAGTAGGATAACTCATAGTTACAACTTACAATTGCTCTACGTGATTTGATTGAAGTTTATTATACGGGAAATATGCTTTCACGTAGAATGAATTTTCTTATATGAAAAAATTATCATGTGTTCATGTTATTTTATTATAATTATTTATTGATAATAAGATAAAAGAGAGAAAAATATATAATTTTTAAATGAATAATTATGATCAAATAATATGATAATATAATTTCTTTTTCAGATGAGAAAATCTAAAATCTTTCTCATATGACTGCATAAGTGTATTCTTCTATTACTAGGTATCGATCAGAGTGGAATATTTTATTTTTATTTTTTTTTAAAAGAAACTGATGGCACCACAATTCTTTGGGTCAGCTGCAGAAGTTTAACTTCTTATGTGACAAGTTTAAATCCCTTATTATATAGAGTAAATTATATGATATCCCCGTGTCAAATAAAATTACATGGCTTTCCCTTCAATTTTGCTTTTTGTGTAAATTAATTTATAAAAGGATTAGTCTATTTATATATTATTGTTATATATTAAACTGTGCAAATCACCTTCAAAATTAACTTTTCATTTTATAATATATAACAAAACTATGCAATTCTCAACTTTAATTTTCTATTGAATGCACGTTTCCCTTCTTTGTTAATGATTTAAACAGTGTTATTGAGCCAATGCTTAGCCCAATATTCACTTCTCATTATGATAAAAATGTATCATCACAAAATATCTCTTCAATAATAATGTCAAATAAGTCGTTAAAGATTTTTGCCGTAACACACGTTCCACACCATTATTAAAGTCTTTTGGCTTTTGAGCATTTCCTACTTACTCAAGTTCTTTTAAGACCTCTACAAGCCACTCTTTCTCCGCAGTGTGCATGACATAGATCATCATTTACCTACGACCGACGTTGAGTCTGGTTCCCTCATATACCACAACCTTAAAGTCAATTTTTACAGCTATCAATCATTAATTCCTCCTAATTATTCCCCTACACCTTAGATGAGATAGAAAGTTAAAAAAATGAGTCTTTACCAAATAAAAAAATAAAGGAGTATACAAATGTGAATAAATTATCCGTGTTAATAATTTAGATATAAATCATAATAAAAATGAAGGCATGAGGAATATTACATTCTTAACGACACAAAAGAAGCTTAATTTATTTCATTTTATATATATGTCTGTTGAGATATATAGTCCCACATTGGTTGTATGTGCAACTAATGTAGAGTTTATAAAGCCTTGAGCACTCCCACCCTTTGAGCTAGCTTTTGGGGTGGTGTATCCCAAGGTTCTTTACATGGTATCAGAGTCTCGCCGCCCCCCACTTTCTCTTGTGGACTTTCTTAGCACTGGTAGGCTGGGACTGTTGCATCTTCCACTCTTCAAGCCCAATGGGCTCTCGTGTGAAGAGGCGTGTTGAGATATATAGTCTCATATTGGTTGTATGTGTAACTAATGTGAAAGAAAAATATATGAGAAGTCAGCTATAGTTTTGTTTCTTAGCGAAAATGCCAAGAGAAAAAGAAAAGATGAGAAGAAGTGTATAATGCCAACATTGCAACTGTTTCTTTTTTAGAATTGGACCCATATCTTTAATACGTGAAAGAATTCCAAGTAGTTATGCCACTAAGGAGTGTGGGTAGACAACTAGACATATAATAGGCTGTGTGTTTAAATTGTTAATGTATCCAAAAAAAAATCCAAGTAGTTTACAGCTAGCTCAACCTCAACCCCCAGCCCATGCTATATCAAGCTCTCCTGACCACACTTGGCATTCATTCATATATTAATTTCTGTCTCTTCTTTCATCCATACATCAACAACATGGAAGAAGAACAAGTTGTCCCTATTCAACCAACCACTTCCTACTCTTTCTCCATTATTGCCTCCACTTCTGACTTCTCAACTGAAGAAGAAGGCATAAAATCAGATAAGAAAACTCAAATATTCGAAGAAGAAGTCAGTGTTGAGAATAACAATAACAAGAAGAAGAAGAAGAAGAAGGAGGAGAAGGAGAAGGAGGTGGTGGAGAGAGAGAGTGAGGGGAAGCATTCAATGTATCGCGGAGTACGCATGCGTCAATGGGGCAAATGGGTATCAGAAATAAGAGAGCCAAAGAAGAAGTCAAGAATTTGGCTTGGCACTTTTCCAACGCCAGAGATGGCGGCTCGAGCCCATGACGTCGCCGCTATCGCTATCAAAGGAACCTCCGCTTTCCTTAATTTCCCCGAATTAGCCGCAGTGCTTCCACGACCAGCCACCACTTCCCCCAAGGACATTCAAGCCGCAGCCGCCAGAGCAGCTTCAATCAATTACCACCAAGCCCAAGCCCAAGAATCATTAAATTCATCGTTAATGGGTGAGGATGATGCATTCTTCGACCTACCTGATCTCTTAAACAAGAGTGCAAGTAAGTTTCATTACTTCACGCCGAGCTTCTTGGCTGGACCCGAACATCTAGACTCGGGTTTCCGCCTGGAACACTCTTTCCCATGGGACTCTTCCTAATATGTGAAATTACCTCACTGTACACACACACACACACACAAAAAATGTCAAATAAATAAATAATGATGTTTTTAGTCTGCCACTGATATTTGTGCATTTTAATACTGTTTTGGTTATAGAAAATGATTGTTGCATAAAATTTACTTGGCCGGTAATTTTTTTCATTTAATATTTGAAGCAAATTTTCATTTAATAACCAATCTATAATTTTATTTGTTGACACATGAGTGTACGCACAGTACGTGGAAGCACGATTAGCACACTCGGTATAAGCAAACAAAACTTTTGCATGCACATGGGTGCACTTACTTTGTCATCTTATCCGTCCTTCATATTCATCAAACTAAATAAAATAAAATACTGTGTTGTGACAGTTTTATAATAATGTAAAAAAATTACTGATAATAGATTAAAATCAAACTCTCTCTTTTTTTACACGAACGAGAATATATATAGTGAGAAATAAAAATAAAAACTTTTTAAGTTTCAAAGCTCGTCAAACAATGAGTTTACCACTAAGGCATTGATTCTAATCATAATTCAGCGTCGTAACAAAACGAAGTAAAATTTCATAATTATGTATTACCACTTTTTAATTCGCATACATTGCCACATTCATATCAATGTTAATATCATATTCGTATTATGGCGATTATTATATTTAATCAAAACAGCGACACAAATGTGATGCGTGAGGTTTGGCATTTCCGGATATGGTCCAAAAAGAGAAATATCTCATAATAACATATGAACATTAATTTAACGTTGTGGTAATGAAAAGCCAATCCAATAATATTGCATGGTATAGGGTAAAAGTATTATAAAAAATTGGATGTCAATTATCGGCTTCCTTGTGTGCCCCCCCGGGACCGAGTTTATGAGGCATATATTAGTTGAAAGATACGAAACCTTTGATGAATGACAGGACATGGTCGTTTAGATTCATTCTGCAATTTCATAATAAAAGTTGAAATAAAGAAGTTGTCTATAATGATTTCGACCCTTCTTAGTTCTTACTCCGATGGAAGCATCCTATGACGAAAGAAATTTAAAAGAGTTAGAGAAGTATATAAAGTTTTGATGGGGCACTTTCAATCCTACTTATCTAATAGCTTAAGTTTTGGGGTTGAATTATTTCTTTACATGGTATCAGAGTCTCGGTGTCACGAGTTCGATTCTCATCGCTCCGACTTTTTCTTGTGAAATTTCTTAGCATAGGTAGATAGATTTGTGCATTGTCCACCTCTTAAGCTCATTTGGCTCTCGTGTGAGGGGCCAGTTAAAGATATATAAAAATCATTAATGTAACTTCACCCACCAACTTAAGTTTTTGGCTTGAATTGATTCTTTACATGATATTAGAGTCTCAGTGTCACGGATTCAATCCTCACTGCACTTCACTTTCTCTTGTGGAATTTCTTTCTTAACACAGGTAGGTGAACTTGTGTATTATCCCCCTTTATATCCATGTTTTCGTGTGAGGGGATGTTAGAGAAGTATATAAACCATTGTTGAGCTTTCACCTAACAACGTAACATTTTGGATTGAATTGGTTCTTTACAAAAAAGATCTTCCAAAATAAAAATAAAAAAATTTAAAGGGACTAAAGTTTCTTATGTTATAGGTGTTGGGAAATTCATTCCCTCAAACTCCAATGTCAAGCGGGTTCAGGGGAAGCCCGTGGCGGGGGCCACCACCAATGAGCTAAGGCTACACCAACCGTAGCAAGTGGATCCGACACCATGTCTCAACCCAAAACCTTAAGGCATTGGGTTCATGGGTCCTTTCACTTATATACTCTTCACTTAGCTCATTACCAACCAATGTGGGACTCATCACACTTGAATATCTCAACAATAGGAGATAAAATTATTTCTTATACATACATAAAAATATGTGGGGCTATGTGAGGAGAGGAGAAGAAAAAGAAAAAAGTTAGGTTTTATATATTTTTATGAATATATGTAACAAAAATTTTATCTCCTATAACGTGATAAAATTTAAAGCCATGGTTTTTATTTATACTATACTTAGTGGTCATGCATGAAATCAACTTTGTTCAACTTACGTAGCGAGCATTTGTTTTTGTTCAAACTAGGTTTGTAAAATGCAGCCCCTGATGAGTTGTGAACGGTATAGTGAAAGCAAAGACTATATAATCACTTTATTGTTGTCCACTGTGTGTCATGCTCATGGATGTGGGACGTCAGCAGTCCCAAAGCATCCCATAAAGTTAAAAGATATTTGTTATGGAGCAGACATCGAAAAGGAAATTGGCAATATAGTCGTTGAAAATGCCCCCACGGACCACGGTACATAAAAAGTAAGGGGTCCCAAAACATCCCATAAAGAGATGAGAGATATTAGTTATGGAGCAAACCCCGAAGAGGAAATAGGCAATAGAGTCGTTGAAAATGCCACCATTCTACATAAAAATTAATTAAAAGCATTTGGTTGCACAAATACACTATTATTGTATGTATGTAGGGAAATGTAACTCTCGTATTAGAGGAGAGGGAAATATTTTCCTGCACACAGCCATCAATAAATTTGCCTGCTTCTGTTTTTTTAACCTATGAAGGCCATAAAATTGTCGATGCAGGAAAATTCCACTAGAAATAAAAAAAAGAAATTTTACTAGAAAAAAAATGTATATCGAAGTTTTGATAACATGTAAAGAACACATTCAACTCAAAAATTTAAACTGTTAGGTGAGGCTACATTAATAATTTTGTATATCTCAATATTGAGCAAGTCGGGTTAGGCGATTAACTTGCCAAAAAAACTTGCTCCGCCTAGATTGATGGGCAGAGCGGATGGGCCCGTTAGCCCTAATTTTTTTACACTAATCCACCTCTTCCGTCATCAATTTATTAAAATATGAATCAACTTGTCTTATCTTATTTAGTGAACGGATCAGCTCACCAAGTCGAGCCAGCTTTATCAGCCCAAATCATTAGAGTGAAGAAAATTATGCGGTTAAATTTATTCGGAAAGATTATAGGCTTGCGACAGTTTAACGAGAAGTTGTGGGCACATCCCATATTTGGCTCGATGCAATTGTGCGATGAGTGATGAGTCTGATGACTCAAATCAAGTGTCTCTATTATTGGCATTATATTATATGCCATAAACTAACCATCACTGAGTGCTGAGTGGCCACCTGGCAAACTCATGAAATTGCACTCCACTGCATTCCCAAACTTGGAAACTCATCGAGAAAAGTTGTTCACATCAATATCAGGTCATTCTCGTTCCCTTAACCAAAAAGGAGATAATGTTAATACTAAAAAAAAAGAGAGAGGAGATAATGTCAAATTGAATCACTAATCCTCGTTCTATGGCTATCCAACATTTCCCATTTTAGTCTGACTGTAGCTTCTGTCCCCCATTCTTTTTTTGCCCTTTTTTGAGAAATTTGCATTACGTCATCAAAACTTGAAAAATATCTTTACTATTCTTGATATTTTGCGACAGAATCTCAAAGGTGTTCTCCCATATTTGATTGATATTTAAAAAACATTCAAACTTTCATGATAATTGTCTCTAGTGAAGACAAAGAAAATCTATTGTTACTCGAGTTAATACTCCTTTATAAATTATTTAATTTATATTCACACTCCTTTCTATTTATTTAACCCTCTATCTATTATCAAAAAGCTCTTAATTAATTTGCTTTTTTAATCAAGTAAAATTCCAGAATATTTCACTTTTTAATGAAATTATAATTCATATAAATTTGAATAAAAAATTATATTATAATTTAATTATTTTCAAAATATCAAATGAATTTGTTAATACATGAGAGGTTAAAATTATTAAATAATGTGATAACATTATTTAATAACGTTATTAAACTTTTGTAATTGACAGTGAAATTAAATTAAATTATGTGTATATTTTAAAGAAGACTTAATAATGTGTAATTTTTATTTTTTTTAAATATTGATATGTAATTTTAATGTATAGCCATTAAATGAAGGGTTATATTTATCTCATTCAACATGAGATAACTCATCTTCCTACACACACATAACAAAGGTGGGTCCTACCTTTATTTTTTATCTCTAATCATTTGTAAAATCTCTCTTATTGTTTTGTTTCACTAACATAAGATAACTTATACTTCCCTTAAATGAAACATCCTATACATATCAAACTCGCCCGCAAGACCAATTTAAGGTATCTTCGCTTTATATATAGAAACTATATTCATTCACCATCAATGATATGATCCACGAGAGATTGACAGTACTGTCACAGTTCTTCAAAAAAAAAATCGGGAATGCCACGAACTTACTATCAACATGTGACACAATAGGACAAACTTGTTATTAGTGGCAGTGAATATATTGGTCAAAAAGTCAACTTTTTTAAAAATACATAACTTTTTATTCGGGTATTTAAATTGGGTGTTTTTTTATTCTATGTAACTTTTTTAGATTTACGCACTAGAAAAATTAATTTTTAGTGTTGAAAAGTAAAAATAAAAATTAAATAACGGCATTTACAAAGATAAAATATGCCAAATGGGGCACAAAGAAGTATTTTTTGCGAAATTTTTTTAACTAAATCCCTTGCAGGAATTGCTAGCACGTAGATCTCAAAAATTTATGTGGAGTAAAAAAAATACCTGATTCGGACATACGAACCAAAAGTTATGACCTTTTAAAGTTTTACGATAAAATTTTCAAAATTTTATCCCACCTGTCACAAAATGATAGGCCACTAAAGTCGTTATTAGTGACGACAACTTTAGAATAAATTCGCTGCCACTGATAGTAACCTTGGTGGCCTCAAAAAATGTGACACGTGGCAAATCATATCCGCCACAACTGCTAGCGGGCTTGACGTCGTGCGTGACAGTTTGAAAATTTCTAGTTGCATGGCTTTATGGTATTTTTTTTTTGGAACTATGACATAGTGGTCAAAATCCCTATGATCTATAGCTTTTTTATTTTTTTGTTCAAGCCCTCTCATATCTCTCCTTTTTTTAGTAGAGAAATGAGGCCAAAGCCCAAAAAAACTAAGAAGAATTAGAAACTAAAATGCAGCATCTCCCCCAATCCCTTGGGAATGTCTTGATGAACGATGAAGTTGGTGTCAGGATCACCCCTGAATTTCGCTAACCAATCCGCATAAATGTTTGCCTCCCTTCTGACTTTTGCTATTCACCCATCCTCCACCATATCTCATCCATGGTGGAGTCTTCCATTTCATTTTCTTTAGTTTTTGTAACACTTTTTTCCAAGAGGTCCTCCTCACCTCTCTGAGGCTCTTTCCTAGTGCTCTCAGTCATTAGGTTCCTTATGATTTTGGATGCTGAAGAAAGCTAAAACTCACCTTGGATTATGTCCTTAACCTCATATCTTTCCCTTTTCCTTCTTGTGTTAGGGTCTCTTTTGGCTTGGGATCATTGTGTAAAGAAAGAATGGCTAAATAACAACACAAGATGAGATGAATTATGTTTTAAATTTTTTTCCCAAATAACAAAGAAAAATTAAAAACCCTTTTTTCAAGAAAACATGTAAGAAAGATTTAACAATTAACAAAAATTGTCAAACCCTTAAAATAGATTCATATTATCAAGAACAATGAATCAAAGAAGAATAATATGCAGCAGAAGATAAAAAAGTAAGGGAAGAGAAGATTATACTGGGATATATCCTGATTCACTTTCCACCACTGAGAGCTACATCTAGACTGAGGCCGATCTTTCAACTATCAACAAGCTTCCAACCGGTGCTTGAAGAAATCATTTTACAAGAGAAATTTTACAAGACATGTGATTTACTTGATCACGCTTAACCTAAACCCTAGGATCACTCCCCTTGAACCAAAACTCAAAACTCAATTGAAATTTTACAAGACCGTGACCAACCCCTTGACCACTCTTAACTTGAACCTTAGGATCACTCCAATTGAACCAATCACAGAAGCAAAACAACCTCTCCAAATGCAGAATTACAAAGAAAAACAGAAGAAGAAGAAGATTAAATAGCTCTATCTCTATAATATCAAATTTAAGCATAACACATGTACGTGAGTGATTCTAACTCTAATGCATGTAATAATACGTTCTTTTATGTTTCTGAACCCTAAAGCATGATTTTATAGCAACCCAAGTCGGTTTAGAAAAGATATAAAAAGATTTCATTCTGATTTAAAAAATTATTATGTGATTCCTGACAGATATCCGGATATACGAGAAGCTGTATCCGAATATTCTAGGTTCTGATATCCGGATATACAGTATCTTGATAACTCACATATTTATATATTTGATGACAACAACCCAAAATGCATCCAAATTTGATTCAAATCATTTCTAATTAATTCTTTGTCACTTCTCACACATTAATGCATGCTTCTAGCATCAATATTACAGTGTTCCACGTGTGTGAGACTTGTATGCATGAGTTTATGTTCCTAAATGTAAATTAAAGAGATATAGCTCAATAAACTCAACTCCATACAACCTAAGACTCTAAAAGTACATGACACTTAATCAAAATACAAGTCTTCAATTATTTTCAAGTGTCTTCATCGTTTGAGTCTTCTAGGTCCTTTCTTCACTTGAATCTTTGACTTTGGTATTGACTATGGTTCAACACATTGGGCAACACAAGTATGGACCACAATCATTATGTATCAATGAAAGTTATTTTGATTTTGATTTTTGTTTTTGTTTTTGTTTTTGAGTATCTTTTCACTCCTGACAACTAAGTTTGAGCTGAAACTGACTAAGTATCAAATGCGATCCTAGTGGATCATCCTCATATCTAACAATTATATGATTAAAATATGAAAAAATTATTTCTACTATAATTTTAAAATGACATTATTTTAGTGTTTAAAATAAATGCAGAGTATTTTAATAATTTTATTATTTTGTATAATATATTTTACTAAAATAACTTGTATTTTTTTTTCAAATATAAAAAACGTCGTCCTTTTAAGGTTATAGAAGAATAAACAATTATCCCTTAAAAAATTATTTGCAACAACATGGTATATCATTTTCTCAACAGCACAATAAAAATGTCACATGTCAGCTTTCAATTCACATACATTGAATTTATAAATATATATGACCTTCACATTGTATACATGTTAAGATTAAAGAAAAAGTCTCATAGGTCTAACTCACTTGATTGAGATATTTGTTTGCAAGTTATAGATAAAAAATGTAATTCTCTTTGATAGAATTTATTTACATTTTCCCCTTCCTCTCCCTTCTCCTAGTAGTAGGACCCCATTAAAATTTAATTAAAAAAAAAAGGGCAAATGGATGGTGTTTTTCTTTTTCCACATAGCCACATGTGAAGTTCCTCTAAGATTTATGTCTGGATACGTAATCCAGCTCGTTTGTGTAGATGAAGGAAAAAACAACTGATTAGTTATCACCAGATATTTTTTTGATTTCATCAGGTTCTCTAGTTTTTCTTTTTATTCATCATGATGGGGATCACCCTCACTACTGTAGTGACAGCCCAACAATGGCCTGCTAGTTGGACCTCAGATTCGAGAGTTTGGGCTTCACTTGTCTCAAAGCCCTATTTGTTTATTTTCCAGCTTTTCATTTTTTTTTCTTTTTTTCTTTTCCAGTGTGACTTGAGAAACTCCTATTGTCCTAATGTGGTACGGTAAGGTTTTCCTCAAGCAGGAAAAGTAAGCTAGAATTTTACTATGAATTTTATCTTCAATGTTCAGGGTTCAAATTTTATTAATGCCCAAAAGTTGCGAGGATACTTTATAATAATAAAAAATGTTATGACAATGTTTTATGTAATATTAATTTTAGGATAAATCTATTAAAAGAAAATTATGTTATAAATGTTTTTTAAAGAATTTTTTAAAATGCATGTTAAGTACACATTAGATTTATTTTTTTATTTATTTAAGAGGAAAACCCCTTTTAGGTCCCTAACAAAAAAATGTAGTCTCCACTTTTGTCCCTTATAAAAAAAAATCAACTTTTGTTCTCTCTACAATTCTAGTTTTTAAAAAATGTGATTCCTCATAAAATAATGATAATCCAATTTAGTCCGTAAAAAAGACTAATATGAATATTTTTTTATAAGGGACGAAGATGGAAATCATATTTTTTTGTTAGGGACCCAAAAAAAGTTTTACTCTTTATTTAAGAATGGTCTCAGAAGATAAAGAAAAAAAAAAGAACATGGGAACTAAATAGTGCATTCAAGCCCAATAAAAGAATACATTTTCTGTACGGTCGCACTCGCACTAACCAATGGTGCGACATTAATATTTGGGGTTTGTTTTTATCATGTTGCACGAGAAAACAAATTCTTTCTACACACACCATAAAAAGGTGTGCCACTTATTTTTTTTGTTTTTTGATTTTTTTAAATAGGTAGACCCCACATTTAAGGTATCTATGGCATAAGATTTGAATTCTTCAACAACATGAGATTTACTTTTCCCTTGGTATTTATACTATGTACTATTGATACTATATAGTGTAAATAACTAAGGGCTTTATTAATCTTATGTTGTAGGAGAGAAGTTTTCTCCTACCATAGAGACAATCATGGGTGGGGTCCACTCATTTATAAAAAATAAAAAAATGAAAACTAAACTACACGAAAATCAATGAGTGTGTAGGAAAGAGTGTTATCTTATGTTGCATAAGAATAATATTTCCCAATAACTAAATACGAAAGTTACTATTTTTTTTCTCCAATACAAAAGCAAGTGACATGGGGTGCTCGTATTGGTCTGCTATCCATATATAGTAATAGATATATAGGTACGCTAGATTTTTTCCCAATAGAATCTGTAAAATGTACTTTTGGAAGAAAATTATGTGTTTTACTATTCATAAGTTTGTTTGAAGCTGCTGTTATGTTGCGGGATTCCCCAGTATGGTATGTGGGATGAAACGAATCTGAGAAGACATTCAACATGTATTGACAACATAGCCCAGAAACAGAAGAAAAAATCAAAAAAGGGATGATTACAAATTTTAATCGTTCTCAAGTGCCAAACCAGTCCAACTTATTTCTAAAAACGTGTCAATTTTTTTTTTTTAAAAAAAGAAATAAAAAAACACAATATTTATTTACTTGGGAGACTAGTTTGAAGCGAAGAATCAAAAGACATCATTGCACTTGTCGTTCATGAACGAACCACAGGGCACCCATTTTTTTGTTTTAAAACCCTCCATAGGCCTTTTAATCCCTACAACGCATGACCATTAATTCCCGCCAATCCACCATGTTTTATACTGTCCCATAAACAAGGCCATAACCAAAATTGTCTTTATAATTCTCAACAGCAAAATTGAAGTGTCACTCTGGCTCTTATGGCACCCAAGAATGACGAATCAACTAAGAAAACAAAGAATAAAGGAGCATGGAACCCTGAGGAAGATCAGAAGCTAGTCCAATGCATTGAAATTCACGGCGCAAAGAGGTGGAAAACTGTTGCAGCCAAATCAGGTTAGCGAGCTAGCTTCAACCCAATTCTAATTTCAAAAATAACCAAACAACAAAAATGATTTGGTTCATGTAATACATGCTTGATTCCGATTAAGCAAGGTCTTGGTTTCAAGTCCACGTGAATGCAAAAAAAAATTTAATGAGAGAGCTAATCCCACCATGATTTGGATTAGCTTGAACACTTCTATATGCTTTGGCAGGTCTAAATAGATGTGGAAAAAGTTGCAGGCTGAGATGGTTAAACTATCTGAGACCCAATATCAAGAGGGGCAACATATCCGATGAAGAAGAGGATTTGATTATTAGGCTTCATAGACTGCTGGGAAACAGGTTCTTCATTCATAAACTAAGATAAGAAAAAATACTATAGAGTATATTAATATGCATTGCATGCATTATGAATATGATAATCATCCACATTTTCGTGTCTTAGGTGGTCTTTAATAGCTAAGAGGCTTCCAGGACGAACAGACAATGAAATTAAGAACTATTGGAATTCTTGTTTGAGCAAAAAAGTTAATCACAAAGAGGAAAAACCAGAAACTTCAACGTTAGAAGAGACACATATGACTCAGAATACTGGGGAAAGAGCAGTGGTAGAGAATCATGAGGCCATTGATAGAAGTGGGTACTCAGAAATTGACTTTGATGTGAACGAATTCTTCGACTTCTCAGCTGAAGGACCCTATGCGTTCGATTGGGTGAACAAGTATCTAGAACTTGATTGAAATCCAAACAGCACAAAGTAGAAAGCAGAGCATTGGGTAGCTGTAATGAAGTGAAAAATTTGTGATTGTCTAATCTCGTATCTGGGGAGTTGTTACATTACATGTTCGCTATTTCTATTTATGAGTTTCTCTTAATTTGCGTGGAGCTTGTGTTTCCTTGTTGCGTAGCCATTGATGGTTTGTTGGTAAAGTAATAAAATGGTTGCTTCTATCAAATGATTATGATACGATATAGTTTATCTTTCTATTATTAATTTGTTTATTATTTTTTTGGTTATGAACAAAATGAGAAGCTCTCTTTCTATTTTTTATTTATTGGTTACAAAAGACAAGAAAATAAGTCTCTGAGAGGCATGAGACTCTCACAGTAGTGTCTAAAAGAGGTAATATGATATGTTTAAGTTAGGTATAATTATTCAGCAAAGTTACATTGTTATAATTACAGTTTTGGTTTAATATAAAGACGGTATTGTTTTAATCAGAAACGTATAATGTTCGAAAGAAAAAGTTTAGCCGTGTTTTTAATTGAATTTGTAATTGCACTTAATACCATACGTAATGATAGCACACCAATACGTAACGAGGCATTACAACCTTCCTTCCTTCCTAGGTTGGGTTTGCGAATATTTTTCCATGGCTATTTTTGTTCGATCCATCTTAATTTAATACAAAATAAACCGCATGTATTTATTTAGGGTTTGATGTTTCTTATGCTGTAGGATTTTATATACACATAAAAATATGTTAGACACATATGAGACTATGTGAAGAAAAGAGAAAAAAAAAATGGGTCACACATACTTTAATGTGTGTATAGAAGATAATTTTATCTTCAACAATATAAGAAATATTAAACCCATTTATTTTAACTGCAAATTTATTTATTTTTAATTATGTTGTAGCTCTCGACAAGAAAACTCTCTCGACTAAAAAAAAGGGAGTTAGAATTAAAAGGCGTGGAACGTTGGGCAGGATATTGGATGTTGTTAAGTGCAATCTTGTCGTAGGATATTTGGGTTTGCAAATACAGTGATATTGCATCTGTATCCTTTTACGTGAAAAAAAAAATGATAATCATGTGAATAATCATAATCATATAAAGTTGGATCAATGATAATAAAAAAAAAGAAAAAAAAAATATTGAAATTGATAATTAGAAAATCATAACCGTTGATTTACTTTTATATAGTTGTGATCTTTTCACGTGATCATGTCATTTTTTTTTTCCACGTGAGAGAATTGGTTTCCGAGTGGGATCTGAATGTTCTAATGTAAAAAAAAATGATATAGTTATATGAAGAATCAAGATTCATAACCATACACAATTGAATCAATAGTAATACAAAAAAATATATATTGAAATTGATAACTATATGGTTATAGTGGCTCTGTGTCTCTATGGAATTCAGAGTATACTGATGAAGCAAAGTTGATTCCTAAAATTACATGGGTGTTAATTCGTCGAGTTCCAATTGTGACTCGACAATTGTACTATTTCGAACCTTTGATCTCACTACTAGTGGACAGTCAATGCTGTTGTCGGAAGCGGTCGTCGTTGTCCCATCGTTTGTATATTCCATGTCATAGTGAATCTGCGTTCTTTCTTTTTTTTTGGTAAATAAATCTGCGTTCTTCATTCTCAGATAAATTCATGTTCGTTCTGTTCTGTTCTGAGATATATTTTGTCGTATTGAATTCCAATATGTCAGTTTGTTTTTTCTAGGCAGAAGGTGGAGAATACGGTATTCGAAATTGAACCTGAAAAAATTAGAGTTAGTTAGTTTGTATATCTTTTTGTTTTATTTTTTATTAATATTTATAAAAAAATGATGAAAATAACTTCATTAATCTTTAAAAAAATGCGTTATTATTGTTCTAATTAATAGGGATAGATTATTTTGTTCACTTTTAATTTGACTACTTTTGCCTATCCTTCTTAACATCGTTAGATTATAATCTCATCCAACGATAAAGTTTTATAGTATAAAATAAGGGAAATATAAGAATCATGTTGCAGGAATGGCACTGTTCATTCCTGCAACAAGGATACGGCGTCGTATCCTAAGGATACGGCGTCGTATCCTGACTTTGGTCTGACTTTTTTTTTTAAGCGTGGGACCCACACTTGATTTGTGTGTGTAGGAAAGTGCTCTTGTCATGTCAAATGACAAAAAGGGAACCCATAAAATAAACTCTTTTATTCCTTTCGTTCTCCTCACCACCTCACACACCCTTTCTCTCTCTCCTTTCTCCATAGTTCGTTTTAATGTCGAAAACCAGTAATTCTAACCACCTAAACCAAAGGGTGCAGCCTCATCCCCATAATTTCAATCACCGACAAAATGAAAAAAAATCAAATAAATAAAAAGGGGAATTTTCGGACTAGGGACCTCTAAATTGTTTAATGGTGCGAATGAGGTGGAGACCTACATCGTTGAGAAAGAAAATAAAAATGTTGATTGATTTATCTACAATACAATGAGTTGCGGGCACAAATTCATTAATCGATTTTATTGTTTTGCTGATTCAATTGCTATAATTTTATAATACAATGAGTTGCATCATCATATGTTATTATTTAAAGAAGAAATGTTGAATACAATTCTACAATACAATGAGTTGTCTCTGACTTCGTCGATAAAGAGAAATAGGAGGAGAGAGAAAGGGTGGGAGGCAGTAAGGAGAATGAAAGGGGTAAAAGGAATTATTTTATATTACAAATCTCTACCGTTGAATGAGATTATAATCTAACGGTGTTAAGAGGGGTAGGCAAAACTATGCAAATTAAGAGTAGACATAATAACCTATCTCTTATTAATAAATATATAAATAAAAAATCTAAACACAGTCTTAATTTATACGTTATTATACATCTTCCGTGAAATATGTCAGTGTCTTTTTTTGTTTCCATGTTTGTTGTACGAGGAAAGTTTTATTTTCAATTTTTTTTTTATAATTCTTATAAACTACATTATGTATTAGGAGTGGTACATTATGTGATACATTCTAGCACATAATGTACTACACCTAGTATATAGTATAGTTTGTAAAAAAAAGTTTGTAAACAAAACCCTTTTCTTATTGCATAAACACTTTCATAGCAACTCACTGTGTACTGGAAAGTAGGGATGATGTAACACCCCAAATTCTAACAATTTATAATAGCATAAATAAATTCAATAATTTTATAAATAACAGCGGAAGTTCAAAATAATCGAATTTGGGAAGTGTTACCGCCGCACCTGTACAGGGTTTAGCTTGGTTAAAGTTAACAATTCATTAATCTGTAGTGTTTTAAATTTATTGTATTCTATGTTATCTTGTTTGTTTGGTTATGCATGACTCTTTGTTGTTTGCTTACTTTTTTTTAAAGGTGGTTTCAAAAAAAAAAAAAAAAAATTAAGTTTCGAGGACGAAACTTCTTTTAAGAGGGATAGAATGTAATATCTCATCATATTTTTATTAACTTTAACCTTATGCTTTTAGTTTAATTGAGAAGCTCAAACTTTTAAGTTTCGAGGACGAAACTTCTTTTAAGGAGGGCAGAATGTAATACTCCATATTTTTATTAATAAAATAATAATAATAATAAACTATAAATTAGTAGTAATAATAATATAGATATATATAACAAAGTAGAATATTAATTTTATTTTTGATAAAATTATTTTGTGCGATATGAATGCTATTGGAAAATAATTTTGATACTTTGTAATACTCTAAATTATTTATAATAACATAATATTAATATGTATATATATATATATGTTTATATATATTAGATGATAAATTATAATTAATTGGATTATTAATTGATTGATAATGTTCGATTGGTAATGATTGATTGGTAATGTTTGATTGGTAATGATTGATTGATAATGTTGATTGGTAATTTGATTAGATATGATGAGTCAATCTTGAGTCAGCATTGAGTCAGTAATGTGTAAGCCCTAAACTTCAACTATAAATAGAGATCTAGCCTAACCAAACCAATTCACTCTTCAACATTTCTCCTCTACTATTCTCTCTTCTTAGTTTTTTATTCTTCTGGTTACCAACCGGTTCTCTGTCCCAAATTACTCTTTTCTTCTAGAAGTTAGCGAAAACGGAGACCAGGTAATCCTAATCTCTAGGTGGTTGTAGATTTGTTGTGTATGAAATTTTATTGGGTGTGTCCTAATCTTTAGGTAGTTATATGTTTGATATATGTAATCCTAATCCCTAGAGAGTCATAGGTTATATTGATATGAATTTTGATATGTGTAATCCTAATCCTTAGGTTATAGTTTTGTTTGAAGTTTATTAATAGTAATCCTAATCCCTAGAGAGTCATAGGTTATATTGATATGAATTTTGATATATGTAATCCTAATCTCTAGGTGGTTGTAGATCTCTAGGTGGTTGTAGATTTGTTGTGTATGAAATTTTATTGGGTGTATCCTAATCTTCAGGTAGTTATATGTTTGATATATGTAATCATATTCCCTATTGTTGGGAATTTTAATCCTCTAGAAAATATCAGAATTAATTGTGTAATTATTTATATTTGAATAATGGATTTGAAAGTTTTGATATTCTTGGATAAATGATTTGGAAATTATAATGGATTTGGAAATTATGATATTATTGAAAGATTGAATTTTGAAATTATACTCTTGATTAAATTGATGTGGAAAATCATGAAAACTATTTGACAATTATGAGAATCGTGACAAGATTGAATTGATTGTATGTGATTGAATAAATTAATAGTGGGAGGATAGCTTTGGGGTGGTACCTCCCAAGGTGATGAACACAACTTTTGGGCTTTATGCCTCCGATGTGAAACTGATGTGAAAAAGATTATATTCGTTCTTTCCAAAGTGGTGTCTGGCAGGGTTTCCCGGGATACTAGTAGCAACTTTGGGAAGAGGTGTGCACACTAGGAAGATGTGAATTGATTATGGCCAAAGTGATTTGTTTGTGACTGGCAGGGTTTCCCGGGTCACAGGGTAGACTGG